TAAGGAAGTCTGAAGGAAGAGGCAGATTTTTGTCGGCTGCGTACTTTCAAATTCTAGCGCACTCGAGCTGGTTTCTCCACTCTTACCTACCCTGCCTTTAAGTTAAGCTATATGTTTGGAGATTTTTGTCTGACCCAAGACTTTGTTAAACAGAGGAAAAATACAAATATTTAAAAAATGAAATAAAACATATTTTACTGTCTGATCCTTCACCTTTTGGCATTCAGAAAACAAATATATTAATTTAAATATTATAATAATAAAATATATTCATAATATCCATAAAGTGATGTTGGACTCTAAAATAAAATAATCCTAAATAACCATATGGTCGCCATCACTCCTTACTGAGGAGCTGACTTTTCCCTGGGTGGATTTAAAGAAAGACATGAGCCTGACGTCCAGATGTGGGTTTGTTGCAGCTTGCTTGTTAAAAATGTTGGCAATCGACCTCTTGCGAATTCAAGTAGTCAGTCGCTGCCAAAACATCTGGAGGAAAGTGAGGAAGCACACGTAGAAACGAATGTGCGCTAATTGTACGCTCAAATGTCATCCTGCTCTCTCAAATCTGCACCTTTGCGATTTCAAAGGTTGACGTTTGCGCTCTCGGTGTGTCTGCGTAACTTTATTTGTGTGTGGGCCTCCTCTCCCGTCAGTATCAGTCTCTTCTGCTTGATTTCCGTGCTCCTCTCTGCCTCTCCTCTGCTCACCATGCCGTGAAATGGTTTTTCACTAGACCATTACCCCAACCAGTGCACTACACTACTGCCACAGCCCTCTGTCAGCGAGGGGGAGAGTGTGTGTGTGTGTGTGTGTGTGTGTGTGTGTGTGTGTGTGTGTGTGTGTGTGTGTGTGTGTGTGTGTGTGTGTGTGTGTGTGTGTGTGTGTGTGTGTGTGTCCGTGTGTCCGTGTGTTTGGAGACAGTGAGGGGAGTGTGTTTGGCTGTGTGCATGATGCTTGTGTACTCTAGCTGCACTGAGAGAAAGGTAGCACTTGTGTATGTGCGGGGACAATTCATTGTGTGCACGTGTATGCGTGTACAGTACGACCCACGCAAGCTCAGTTGTCATGGTTTTTGCCCTGCACTATACTCCTGTCACAGCTGTGAATGCTGGGAGTCTACTAACATCTGAAATGTCACACACAAACACACACACACACACCAAGCTACAGGCAGCTCTAGTCGTAGCAGGCGTGTTGTTCTGCTCACTAACAAACTGAGTGATCATCTGTCACTGCCTGAGTTGTTTTTGGAATTGTCAAATGTTAAGCTATAAGCATCTTTCAGTAACGACTGCTACAGTGCCCAAAAATGTTGTTTAAAGTGGAAAATGTCAAGCTGATGACAAGCTTGATTCATTTTGTGGTCAGATTCTAATGTATTTTCTTAACCTCTCTAGTCAAATAGTCATGTTTACAAAAAATCATTATTTGTATTGAAATGTAGACTGTGTGTTTGCTATGCAGTTTAAATGGGCCCTTTTATTCCCATTTTTACGTTCATATTTTTATTTTTTGCGTCTACTGTGACATGTTTACATGCTTTATGTTTAAAAAAAAAGCTCTTTATTGTTCTCATATTTCTGCTGCAGCACCTCTTTTCACCCTCTGTCTGAAACCAGAGCCCAGTCTGCTCTGATTGGTTAGCTGGCTGGCTCTGTTGTGATTGGTCAACCACTTAGTGATGTCCCGCCCCTTAGCCTATCACCTACAATGTGTTGGAGCGCTAGCCAATATAAGTGAAAGGGTAACCTAGTGATGTGATTATGTTACAGAAATTAATCAAAGGACTAAAATATAGGCGTTTCAGGCCGGGTCGGAGTGTGTGGGAGAGAAACCTCCTTTGCAGACCATTTACATGCACACAAACCTGCAACACACTACAGTAACGGGAACACCCAAAATACCATAATTACGTAAAGTGCGGCTTTCTTCTGAATCCACATTTCCAAACTGATTTTGCTGCCTCTTTAAGCAGAACTGTATCAAAGCTGTATCCAGAAGACACACTGAGAGGTTTGTACAACTTATTTTTAGCTGAATAAACACAATAAAGAATATCAGTTAAATAAATTACTATTTGCAATTCCTCACTTAGTCCAACTGCCTCTGTAGAAATATATATACACTCCCTCACTTCATATGCATACGTGCACATTCATTCTGTGCTCATTTGTTTGTGTTTACTCAGTCTGTGGCATCGCACAGTAATCTGCTCTTAATCCATGTGTATGGAAACACACAAAGACATGCACACTTGAGCAGAAGAGCACCAAACCATAAATTCTCAGTCCAATCCTGTCTCCTACAACATGACGTTCTATAATTCTTTGAGGGATAACAATTGAACACGTGGTAAGTTTTATCAATTTAAACAAACTAAACGCTGAAAAAATACTTGGTTATGTATTGGTCACAAAAACACTCGGTTCAGAAAAAGGTATTGTTTAAGAATAGTACTTTTGTTAAAACATTGTTTTATCAACGGACCTTATTTATATACTACGTATTCAAATATATGAAATGGTTCATACAGGATACGAACAGAAGTCTCCTGAGAGGAATTCCTGTGTTCGGTTTACCCTCACATTAACCCCTACATACACACTCCTCTGAATTCCCCAGACTTTGATTAGAAACACATTTGTCTACTATGGGAATATCAGCCAGATGATTCTGTCTTAACTCGGGAACATATAGGTTTGGGGTTAGAAAAACACTAGAAAACAAAGGGTATTTCTTCTTATTGCCTACAAATCCCATTTTAAGACCAAAACAAACAGTGAACTGATCCTACGAACACACTTGTGTAGCCAAAGCCCGATGTTTTGTTATTCATGAGTGCAAAAAACCTATATGGTAATATATTTTTTTTTCTTCATTATATACTGTGAACACGCGCAATTTAATTAATGTAAGTCAATCCGAATACCGCCACCATAAATACTTGCTCTAGTGCATCATATGTTGTTTTTCTGCTGAGAACTACAGTGTCCCGCTGTCTCAGGAAATAATTGAGCCTTTATTGAACATTAAATTATGTATTTGTGAGATTTTTCTAAAGAGTTATGTCTCCATATGAACCAATAGGCTTTGATTTTTGCCTAAGGAAGTCAGAAGGTATTTACAGACAAATGCATTATTTGTTTTGTTTTTTCATAAGATTCATAGACAATAACAAGATATTGAACCACGCCATCCGTTTCCCCTCAAGTACACTTCCACCAAAGCTACCTGACTACTTCCACCAAAGCTACCTGACTGCTTCCCATCCTTCATCTCTCTGAAGCCGGCCTCCCTAATCCTCCATGTTGTCTTTACCCCTCCAAACATGACTCTTTGCTTTTTATTCACGCCATCCGCTTACTCATCTCTCTCACCTCTCAGCCTCCCCCGGATGTCGCAGTCATTTCCCCCCTCGCTCTCTCCCCTTCCCTCTTTGAACACCGTGTTTAAATTGTGCCATCGGTGTCCCTTTCACCTCCCCACTCCGTCGTCCTCGCCTTCACCCCATTCCCTCCCTTGGTTCATAATTCACCTCTCTCCCCTCGAACTCTCCCTGCCACTTCTCAATGGCTTCATAATATCCCTCCTCCTCTCTATATCGCTGTTCTTCATTCAAACTCATTTACTTCTCATTCGCTCCATCTCTCTTCCCCTCCTTTCTTCCCCCTCTAATGCCTTTTCATTCTTTCGCTCCACCTCTCTATTCCCACCTAATATCCCGCTGTCTCTCTACCTGAGATATTGAAGCTATAAAGACAGGTGTTCAAAAGAAAGCAGGGCCAGCAAATCTGTTTTGTATGCCTCCTGGTATCGGAGAGAAAAAGAAAAAGTGATGGTCTGTAATATCGAATTTGGTTGACAGTATTAACTTGAGTGGAGGAGAGGAGAAGAACATAGTTTCCTATAAAACTTTCAACTGTCTTTACCCCTTGGGACACACACTTCACCTTCTTGCATTTTCTACTTTTGGATCTAATCACACTCTTCAACTTGTTTTTATACTATATGGGGACCATGTGTACACGTATGTCTTACAGGAAAGAGACAACAAACAGTAATGTTTTATCAAGGATACAACATTGTACTTAGATAAATATATATGTTAGGCAATTGTATCTAATAGAGATGTGTATTATCAACAAATATTTTCCAAAACTCTGAATTTCACACAACCTGAAAGGACTCTATAATGCTCCATATTATTTTATTTTTTTACTGTTAGAGTTTAGCATGTATGCAGAGTCACAACACTCAATCATCTGAATCATATCTCACTCCCTCACCCCAAGTTATGTTCAACTGAGTCTCATTCCCAGTATTCACTGAACATGGCCTGTGTGTAGTTCAATGTGTGTATGTATGTGTGTGTTAATGGAGGTTGTTGACGTTTGGGGTTTAGTCGGTCTCTTTAAGGAACGGCGCGGCAGCTGGAATCTCCCTAGTGAATAGACCGGGATAATCTCTGGGCGAGCAAATGTGTTTGTGTGTATATATATATGTGTGAGAGGGGAAAAAGTGAGTAATGGGAATAAGTGAGAAGAGAACGAGATGTGTAGGTGAGGGAGAACCAGTGAGATGTAGAGTCAAAAAGGAAGTCGTAGAGATTGAACTGTCAGCAGCTTGACTTAATCTGTTACTTCTCAAGATGGAGACGAGACTCTGTATATGTATGACTTTTTTGTGTGTGTGTATGACCAACCATCCTGTTTTGAAGTAACCTAATCTAGGACTGAGGCCTCATCCCCACCCCCCCTTAGAAAAAACCCTCAGAAGACCAAAACTCTAAATCCCTAATAACTAGCCTTTGTCAATCCTAACTGACTACAGACACACACAGAAACGCAGGCACAAACACACACATAAGGAAAGAGGCTTATGGCTATGCAATACGCAAGCTTAGGCTCACACATTCTTCACAGTTTATTCATATTTCAGGCAGGGAAATATATACTTTTACTTAAATCAACACTAACAAATTGCTCTCTCTTCACCAGATGCCGGTCAGAGCGACAGATCCTCGGTTGGCACCACGATATGAAGAAGTGGAACGTCAGTACGCCTCATTACCAAGGTACTACTTTCTCTGCTTCCCTCATGTGAGGAGGTCAGAAAAGTAAGATGTTTTATCATTCCTCTCCTCTTCCCTTCTTTTTCTCTTTGAAGCCGCTAATTAAATCTGTGAAGTCTGTATGTCTTTCGGGTGTCTCTGGAGGCCTCAGTCTAAGCCAGGAACTCACCTTTCCCCTCCCTGGGGAACACACACTGAGACGGGGGGTGAAATGTAACCCCAGATCTGCTCCCCCACAGAAACATACTTTGGTTTAAGCTCAATCAGTAATTTTCTGGCATGTCGATGAGTGGAGTCTCTGTGTGTGTTTTTTAACCCTCTAACTTCAAACCTCAGCAATTATATTTTGGTGTCTTCCTGTAGTTTTGAACCAGAAAGGCACCATTTTTTTACTTTTTTACTTTTAACGTTTCACTCGGTCAGACATCACATTTTGCTCCACTGTATTTCTCTATGTATTTAGACAGTTTAAAAGCCAGGAGGCAGGTGAGTGGAGGACACAGGAGACACAGCTATTGTCAGAGTTGACTGTCATGCAGAAACGTAGCTTCTCGACTCTCTCTGATTAGCGTGCATTAGCCTATTGCCCGGCGCGTTCTGCTGTTTCCCTCCCTGGACAGCATGAAATATCACTAACATTAGCCAGCAAAAGACCAATAACAGCTTCCTGAGTATACTAATCAATTCCTGAAGGATTCTTTCCATTTATTTCTCATGATGCGTTGTCAAATGCAATCAGATACATATCCAAGTCCAGGGCCGCCATAGCTGTTTAAAAGTATGTTTGAAATGAGCTTGGAACATGTTTAAAAGCACAGCTGTTCACTGACCATTCAAACGTCAAATTCAAATGTCCGCCTTAATGTGAAACACAGTCGAAGACATCTTATATTCTACTGCCATCATCAGTCACGTCCTGCAGCATCTCATTTTTCATTTGCAACCTTTCCACTTTCACTGCCTGAAAGGCCTCAACTCTGATTATCTTTTTTTCACTCCTTAAATCTATTTTTTTCTTTCTGCTACCTCCTATATTCATTCCTGTTCCTTGCTCTACAGTGCCTTAGTTGTTAAATGTATTTCCTATTATTTGTTTATCGTTCTATGGTAAGGGTGTTAAATTAAGCCCTAAACTGTATCCAAAAATAAAACTCATTCAACAAAAATAGGTGTGCCAACTTTAACAGTAGAAACTCTGAGAAGTTGTTACTAGCTTTTTCTCACCTTGTTTTATGTTGCTGTTAAGAACCAACACCTTAGCAGACTAACAAGCCAACAACAAATGTTTGTTTTAGTGTGGGTTTGTGTGTGTGTGTGTGTGTGTGTGTGTGTGTGTGTGTGTGTGTGTGTGTGTGTGTGTGTGTGTGTGTGTGTGTGTGTGTGTGTGTGTGTGTGTGTGTGTGTGTGTGTGTGTGTGTGTGTGTGAGACAGAGTGAGAGAGTGTGTGTGTGTGTGTGTGTGTGTGTGTGTGTGTGTGTGTGTGTGTGTGTGTGTGTGTGTGTGAGACAGAGTGAGAGAGAGGGGCAGTCAATGTGTGGAATGACAGACAGAAGTTTAGAACGTTAGACACTTTATAGCCAGGTTCCCACCCCTGTTCAAATGGTGAGGGATGGCTGTTTCACACCTATTTGTGTGTGTGTGTGTGTGTGTGTGTGTGTGTGTGTGTGTGTGTGTGTGTGTGTGTGTGTGTGTGTGTGTGTGTGTGCGAGAGTGAGAGTGTGCGTGCGTGCGTGCGTGCGTGCGTGCGTGCGTGCGTGCGTGCGTGCGTGCGTGCGTGCGTGCGAGAGTGAGAGTCTGTGTGTGTGATGACTTTGGCAGATGGGAGCGAGAACAGTGATGATAGTTTTGAGGGCTGGCTGTGGTATCTGAAAAGCCATGGGAAATTGGACACACACACACTCACATACAGTACACCCTGTCTCTGTTTCCACTTTCAGACGTGCACTGTAATCCCAAATCGCTGTGCCAATTTTACATGTAGGCCTCGTGTTTGAAAAGCACCCCAGTCATTTATCAAATAAAACTCATTCTGATAATCTGCCTTATTATAACGGTAATGGTTCTCAAACATTCTCTGCATGGCTCAATTATGATTTATAACAGTTACATTGCCCAGAGCCAGGGCCGGAACTACACACAGGCTCTCTTGGCACATTGTGCCTGGGGCCCTCTCCCACTGAGGGGTGAAAAACATGAAATGCTTACATAATTAAAATATGTTAAACATTATTCAATGCAGGCTTAATACAAAAAAAAAAAAGACAGACATATATAGGCTTTATGATACTCATTCTCATGTAGGCCATTGGTAGGCGCTACAATTTACCAATATACCATTTATGATGATTTAACGGTATCAAAAGACAATTGGTTCGATGACCAGCATCACACCCTGTAACAACATAAAGCTAATTTAAAGAATTAAACATTTAAATAAGATTGTCACACAAGAACAATGCAAAATTATTTTTGACTTGTTAACAAATCTGTCACAATCAACAGGTGAGGAACGTAGCAAACAGCTGTTTCAAGATATAGTGACACTGTGTGAATCTGCTGTGACATCATCCTTAACATAACAAGTAGAAGAACGTATCCACTTCTTCTTATAACTTGGTCGGCATACAAACAAATTATAATCGCTTTGAACAGTAGGTTTGCTTTTTAAAAATCAGACCATTGGCAGGATGTACAAGTGATTATTTTCTCTGACTAATTAAAGGTCTGAAGTGTTTAAAAGAACCGCGATCAAAGACATTCCAAGAAAATGTAATAGCCACAACTTTTGCTAATGTTAAACCACAAAAGAGTTGACTTGAGTGTGTGTGTGCTGAACCATGTAGTGTCATTGCAGCATTAGAGAGAACAGTGGCTGAGTTTCAGTTTACAGCCTTGTAGATACATGCAGTTAATAGCCATGTATTGCATAGTGTCATGTGGCTGGTGCCAAATATTATGCGAACGTTGCATTTATATCCTAACAGCCTCTCATATTTGAAGTGAGTATGTATTCAACAACAAACACAGAAATCGTAAAGCCAAAAAACTCTCCCAGGTTTACTCAAAAATGTTTACCTATTGACTCTTTTTCCTGCTGTCTTTATGTATTCGTCCCTCCTGTCTCTGCATTTCTCCTGCTGTCAATTAACTCTGGAGATATTTCAGCAGCCAGCGAGTCAGAGAAACAGAGATCATGTTTGGAAACCACATCCAGGCTGTTGACCTTATCAAAACATATTATTTAGCTACCGGTCCAGAAATAGCTAGCAGGCTGTGTGTATCAGGTGTCTGCATGCCTGTGTACCTGTGTGCCTGTGGGGGAGGGACCAGGTGTGTGTGTGTTTATATGATTCCATATGAACCATACGTTGCTCTAGGGTGCGTGCGTGCGTGCGTGCGTGCGTGCGTGCGTGTATTTTTGTCAAGATTTTGATGGCTCTAAAATTAAAACATGACCCAACAGTGGATGATGTTTCCCTGCCTAAAGCACAAACGCTACCTCACTAACTGTCAGCAAATTCACAGCATAAAATAGAGAACGTATATTTTGCTACTCAGTAAAACTTTTAAGTGTCTCAGTGAAAAAATATATCAGACTGAAAGATAAACAAGTGTATACGTCAATTGTGGCCAAAGTAATTAAACTTGAATTAAAACAAAGCTTTGATTTTATACAAAATTATACAAATTTGACAAACATTTGTATCATAATAATCATACTTCCCTTGCTAAAAACAGTAAATTCACTAAGAAAAATGTCAAATACTCTTTAGTTTTAAAGTAGAATAAATGTTCTTAATAGCTGAGGGATGCATGTTGTTCATGTATGGAAGAGGATAAGGGCCACAATAGGACCAAGAGAAAAGAGAAAAGTCAAAATGTTTGTTTTTTTCAGAATTCGATAAAATATTGGAACTCTGACTCTGAAAACGTAAAAAACTCTGAATTCTGGGAATAAAGTCTAAATCATTGTTTTCCTCATAACTCATACTGTAATCTCAGAGTAAAAAAACCTATACATGAGTCTTCTCCCTTATTCATGGATAATGATCAGTGACATCAAAAGACAAAATGGGGGACACAACATGTGTCCTTTCACTTCAAATAACCCCAGGTCTTCTCTCATTGCCCTCTTCTCAAAATAACCTCTCCATCCTCTTCCTCCCCCATCCTCCACATCTCACCTTCTCTCTATTTCAACATGTTCCTATTCTTCTCCCCCTCCATCTCACTTTCCCTCAGTGGTGTTATTATCCTGATACAAAAGACCCCCCTGTTGAGAGTGCGTGTCCCTATTTGTTGAGGATTAAGACTATAATTTACATCTGTGTGCTTCAAGAGCGCCTAAATTAAAGCTGTATGTTTTCATTTAATGACATTAGTTAAGACGGGCTGAAACCACAAGGAGAGAGGTGATGTCACTCAGAAACATTACTGTGTGGAAACAAACCTTGAAAGCTGCAGATTTCAGTTTAATTCTACTTGCAACTTTTGTTAATATTTTGGATGCTGTAATCTGTGTGAAACCATTAGTTCGATGAGTGTGTGTGCACCTAAATGTGTGTGTGTGAGACTCGGTCAATCTGAGGTCAGTAGATGGCTATCTGACCGTGCGTATGGTCAACATTAGCAGGTTGCGCCCCTGCCATATGTGCACCATTACTGCCCCATTTGCACATTATTGTTCCTGAACACACACACAAACAGCAATAGGCATGTTTGTTTTCTCCTGTATTATTCATATTAAAAAAAACAAAGCTAAGAAAAAAAGGGGGAACAATATCAGAAGAAAGGAAAGATAGAAAGAAGAAAATCAAACAATAAAGAAATAAACTGTTCGACCTAAAATAAATGGGTGGACAATAGCCACCATTGGTAATTGGTTCACATTTAAGTGTTATAACCCACTCATATCCATAAACTCATCCAATGTAGGTTTCAAAGCACACAGAACCGGACAAGTCACCTTTGATTAAGAACATGATGTCCCTCTCCAAGGATCT